TGACTCAGATTTGAGTATGGCTCCGGACCTTAACAAATCGTTTATAGCTAATCTTACTAGCGATGTTTCTCTGTAGGGGAAAAATTATCTTTAACCAAGTGGTGGCATGATGGAAGGTTGTCTTTAAAGGGAATCCTATAACCTTGAATCCAGGATAAGACTGTCAAATTTGAGGTTAGTTTGGACCAAGAGTCCAAATAAAACTGTAAACGGCCAGCAAACGGAACTTGTTTTACCTTCAGCGTTTCCTGGTTTGCTGTTGTCTGTTCCGAGGAAACTGTGTCGAGGAATGGCCCTTGTATTGCCTCACCTCCCTCTTGCGGTAAGACGGGCGATACCTGTTTAAAGGTCCTGCATTCTTGGACGAGCTGCCCCCCCTTCTTTCGGAATGATTGAGGCCCGCGCTGATTGAGAGCTAGTGCGTGAGGGGATAGAAGGCAAACGTAAGTCCTGTCCTGACTTTTCCAAAGATTTCAAATTTTTTGCTCGTTCACCTAAATCTGGCCCAAACAAAAATTCACCAGGTATGGTATTTTCAGTCAGTTCTTTAACTGATTTGTTAAGTACTGGGCTAATTAAATATTTCCTTGTTTTCGAAATATCGTGGAAAAGAGCCGCCAATATTCGTGCAGAATCTGTCAAATTTGATAAGACTTTTTCCCTGATGTCTTTAGGGATGCTGGATTCGTCTTCCAAGATAACGTTGAGTGCTTTTCCCAGGGCGGTTAGTCCGTTACCAATGTGCAATTGGTACCCGGAGTGAGTGGAATCCCTAGTTAAATGTGTGGATGAAAGAATAGCTTTCACTTCGGGATTTACTTTTGGAGGACGTAATAAAGCGCAATTAGATGGCACATTTTGTTTTTCGCTAAGGATAGAAATATCTTCGACGGATAGCCCGTTTGCCAAAATATGGGACCACCTGGAGGCTAGGGCACCGTGAAGTTTAAAACTAGACGTATTAACCTTTTCAGGATCGGCACCCAGAATATTTAATGTGTCCTCTGATAATGGCATACAATCGGCATCGTCAAATATCAAAACATTGTCCATACTGTTTTGCGTTGTTGGCGCCGCTCCCAAATCTGGCCCTGTCAGTACCTGAGCTTCCGGCCCGCACGGGGAACGACCAGCCAGGCCTACCTGACGCTGTGCATTATCAGCTGGGCTGGATGAATTCTGTTTTTTCTCACATATTCCCGTCTCTCTCTACGTCGCCTCGACACGCTCGGTGATCGACTACGACTGATGCTACTCCGCGAACGGGACCTTGAACGTCTACGGCTCAGCCGAGAACGCCTAAAGTAATGGGGCGAATCGGCACGAGACCTCGACCTGCTGCTTCTACCCTCAAGTTCCTGGTGTAAAATTTCCCTGATAAGATTCCTCCTCAAGGAAGTGGGAGAATTAACCTCCAAATCCCCGTCCCTGCCGCCAGGTTTTTCTGTTAAGTATATATTATATTATATAACGTGCTACTAGATGAGCAACAAAACAACCCATTGTTGTACATACTTACCAACCTACTCACCAAGCACTAAACCGATTTGAAAAGGAATCGTGTATTTTACGTGTTTCCTAACGCACAAACAAGCCGGGCGACCGTACGGCTGTAACACCAAAAACCGAATGACTCAACGTGCAAGACCGCGGCGTGACGGGACGGGAGCGGGGATCTCTTGTCTTTTAACTTGGTGTGCGGCTCTTACTCCAGGGCCGGACTACATAGTAAATGAACAAAGTGGTGTCTTCGGACTGGACCTAAAGTATAATTCAAGACCTTGAACGCAACATTCAATTAAATATAGTGGTCATACCAGTCGAAATGCTGCACAGAGTCATCGAAAGTTTGTGTGTCCGGATCAACCAGTGCAACACAGCCATTTGAACGTTGTATTGTTTAAATCACAAATGGTATAAAATACCATCAAATAAAGCCACTGAGTATGCAAATGGATCATATTTTAGTTGTTTTATTTCAATTTCAAATCCTATCGTTCTTACTGGGAAACCCCTTATTTCGATCAACAGCTAACTTTCAATGAACATATTAATCAAACTATTACAAGCGCTTCCAAAACCTATAGCTTTGTTGTTGTTGTTGATAGATTGTCACATAATACTTTCACAAATACAGTTTCTGGTACCACGACTAACATCTAGATAAAATGATCTTTTTTTATGTCAGAAGCTGAAATAAAGCTACTGTCGGAATCGTCAGTTAACGTGATGTGTGTGAATGCTAATAAAATAGCCGACGTATGCGATATATTTTTTTTGTAGCTTAGGCGAATTGAAATTCTAACTGCGTGCTCATTTTATATTTACTTACCCCTCTTTTCTGTTGAAATATAGCTTATATTTTTTGGTATTGATTTACGAAATTTGTAATTGCTTTTTTACAAAATATTCTCATGGTTATTTTTTTTATAGTAAATTGCTCTGTCAATGGTGTTAAAACTGTTAGGCACTAAAGGCTTATTATATTATTATCTCTCTTGTCTCTCTCGCGCTCACACAGGATATAGATTAAGCGCGCGCTTGATTGATAATTAACAAACAAACATTTTACAGTAACAATACTTCTTAAACTACTTTGGAATTTATCTTTCACCTTTTCAAATATTAATCGATTTATCCTGAAAATTATCAACATTATCAAAAAGACCATAAGAGTCTTTTTTCATCATGTGGCCCAAAAAACGGAAAAACACGTTGACCAAAGCAAAGAAAACCGTTTTCTTGAACTTTGAAAAGAAATGTTTAAGCATTTTTAAACGCAACTGACCACATGCAGATCTCTTAAAAAGACAAATTTTTCAATAACTATACAAAAAAATAGAATAAAACTGTTATTGCAATGATACAAAATAGTTTTTGGACTAAATAAGATTACATTTTAGACTACAATGTACAAAATGGCTTGTGTAAGACGTTTAATAAAAAAAGTCGTTAGCACTCACACAAAAAATGATGAAAACTTCTTAAAATTAATTTCAACTTACAGTGGCTGTCAAGTTATGCAATGCCTTAAGCGGTCAGTTCTCGAATAGCAGTATCCCAATGATCAACTTTTTCTGTCAAGTAGGTGCTGAATAAGAGAAGTTCTGTACTCTTCGAACTGTGCAATATATACGCTGATGTTCAGATATGCGTTTGCTCTAACGCTAACTGAGAAAAAATCGGCAGTCGTCAAGATATCAATACCATGAGGGAAATTTCCTTGTCTGCCTACATTTTCCTGGAAGGCGGCTGAAGCAGCTCGTCTACAGTTAACCTATAACAAAAAAAAAACAGCGCATGACATACCTTGGTGGAGAATAAGGCCACATTATGTCACTCCCTCCTATGCGGCTTACGACATAAAAGTGCTCGGCCAAAAATGCTCCTCTTCACCGTTGTACATTTATAATGTTTCAGTACTAACTCTGTTATTAGTCCACTCATATTAGCAAATTTCCCTGGAATAATTGTAAAGTCTGTTTTTATTAATGCAAGTTGCTCAAGGGGGTATTTAAAACATGGACGCATAAAATGGGGACACCAATTTTTGTGGGAAAACTTTTTATTCTACAACAAAGAATGAGAAAGCGCGTGTTTTGGGATTCAATCGAAAATGTTGGCAGGAATGAAAAAAATCTTCAACTAATATTTTTAGGTATTTATGAGGCCTACAGATTGAGACCACACATAAAATATCCGACTAATAGTAAAAAAGTTATAGCCGAAAACCCAGGCAAAATGCAGGTTTCGGCACTCGCTGCTAATGCGATGATAATTTTACGCAGCTACTTGAAACTCTTCAAATCCGTAGGCTTCATACTTTTAAGTAACCACAGCAAAATTGGAATCGATTGATCAAGTAGTCTGAGAATTTCTAATTGTTTATTCCATACACCTGTCTTCCGGCCATCACTACTAGTTTACTGAGCAATATACAGGGTTCATTCAAAGGGCATTTTATATCAAAATACAGTCGTTCACCTTGTCGACATAAATCACAAACCATTCCGAAAAACGGGTTACGTTTTTTTCTTCTAAACAAATTCAAACATTTCGTATTTGTTAGTAATTGAACAGATTCGCTACGATATTCGAAAAACATACGTTATTATACACATTTTAAAGTAAGTAATATATAAGCAAACAGAACATTGTTTTTCATTTTAGATCACGATATAATCATAAAAAGTCTAACAATAATTTATTTGTATAACAATACATATCAGCATAAATCATTATTAAATATGACAATAATGATTCTTCGTTTTCATCGTCATCATCGTCTTCTTCTTTTCTTTGGTACGCAGCAACTATCGGAACCTCAGAGGCCCGGTTTTTCAATCGCAAGTCAACTTTTTAGTAAATTAACTATCGCCAGGAAGTTAACTTGTGGTTACTTGCAGATGCGTTTTTCAAGTATTTTGACAGCGTCAGTTAACTTACCAGAAGTTCAACATATATTTATGTTACAGCCCTGTATCTGCGGTTCTTAGATATCGTGTTCTATGCGTTTTGTGGGCTCGGCATCTATGTAATAGAGAGCAATACAAGTGGCACAGTTACGTGGAAACAGGAAAGTTCAGTATGGCAGAGCATCGAACAAGAATTCCAAGCCGTAACAGGGTGCCACCGAGAGGCAAAAACGAGATACATATTTCAGTTTAAAGAAAAAACAAAAAGCAAATTTGCGACAAACAAAAACAATATAATCAAGACAGGGAGAGGTTCATGCCAATTGCAAGCATTCGATCTGATTGATACACAATTACAAGAAATAATGGGACCACAATTAGAAGGTTTGACAAACAATTATGATGATGACTTTAGAAGCCAAGAAGAGGTGGTTACTGAACATGGTAAGTCTCATGGCTGTTTATTGAAGCATTTTTGTAAATATTCATTTTTTAGTTCATGATGCAAATTACTGTGATGAGAGTGAAGTGGTTTTCAATAATGGGAAATGCAGCGCCTATACTCCTCAACAACTGAAGAGGCCCAAAACTACAAAGCTATCATGTACGAAAACGGTACAAAATAAAAATATATTTCTGTTAACTATCTACTAATGGAAGAAAAGCTGAATTTTTTGAAACTACAAAAAGAAAAATTCATCGAAGAACAAAATAAAAAAATGGAAATATATAAAAAAAGGTTCAGCTGTTAGATTTACAGATCAGTGCATTGGATAAGTAGAAAACAAAGGATTTATTTGTTAATTTCTGGAATATTTTCACTTTCACTAATTTTTTTTTTGTATTCGCATTTTTGAGGATAATATGTTATAATAATATAATAAACTGTTTTCAGAAAATCGTGTTTATTTTCATTCTGTAGTTACAATAAATAGGGGATAATTCATATGTCAATTAGATGAGAGCTATGGCGAAAACTGTAGGTGTCCAAAAAGATCGACTGAGTGCCCATTTTGAGGCTTGGGACATCTATTTTCAAATGCCGTGTGCGCCTTTTTTGGGCACGACTCTTATCCACTTGCCATGGATTATCACAGATCTTATACTAAACAACTTTCATCTAGTATCGAGTCATTCACTGAGCATCATTGAATGTATTGAATCGATTTACAAATTTGCAAAATAATTATTAATAAGGTAAGTTCTAACATTGTTGATTGCATTTTGTGGCAACCTAATATTTACAGGATCTGTCTTCACATTATCTACATGAACCATGTTAATAGCATTTTCCTGTTCAGGACTAATAGGGGGCATAGCTTCATTATTAGGACACGCAATATTATATAGCACTGCTGTTCCTAGAGTAACTGCTTAAGCTGTATCTACATGAACTTTGAAACCCATAGCTAGTCAGGGAAATCTTCTTTTCCAAACTTCATAGCTTCTCTCTATAACATTGCGACTTCGAATGATAGATTCATTGCATAATTCTTCAGCAGGAGTTGTAGTTGTATTTAATGGTGTCATCAAATGGCGCTTAATAGGATAACCTTTGTCACCAGCCAACAAAGAGTTTCCAAAGTGACCTGATTCAAATTGCCTGCAGCGCTGAGAATTTCCGAAAATGTATGAATCTGCGTCAGAAACAGTTCAGTGAAAAAAACTGCTTTCGATTTCTGAAGAGCTCTGCATGGCTTCCTCCGGGAGAAACACTTTTTATATGCGTGCAGTCAATTGCACCTATGCATCGAGGAAACCTAGCTATGTTATTTATGAAAGGTTTGCTTTGCCCTGGCAAGAGCCTCAAGAGTGCCCGGCCTTTTTATGTAATTACTTCTTTTACTCGTTAGTACTTTTAAGAATCTTCGGACTGTTTTGGATGCAGTTGATTTGGAAACTGTACAGCAACAGTTAAAAAACTTCCATTTCGCAGTGCTAACAACAGCTGCTGTTGGGGCGTTAAGCAGTTATTCCTGGAATGACAAAGTCATGTAAAAATATGGAAATAAACAATAATATATACATCTACCTGCTTGTAGGATATACTAAATCTTCATAGACTTCGTCCAGGGGAGTTTCTACAGTCCTTTTTGTAAGACGAAAACTTGCGGTTTAAATATATAAAACCTTACTTTTGGAATTACCCTCGTACTCATTTGCATGGGAAGTACCCAGTTAATCTATATGACACCCAGTTTTTTATAAACTATAAGATGAATCAGAGATATACTATGAGGATAGCACCAACATATCAGTCATAACTTTTTCCAGGAGTTCTCTCCGAATTGATAAGATTAAGCTAATTTGAGTTTTACTATAGCGATTGTTGGGATTTTCGTATCATCATGAAAATCAAAAACATTCAAGCATAGCGTTTAAGCAACGATACATAACTTCCAGACTTGTCTTGGCTTTGTTCTCAAGAAGTTAAGATTTTCTTTATCGCAAAGCTAAATGGGAAACACGAATGAAGGAGAGTCGGCCATGGGAAATACCAATACAGCAGAAGGAGGCAAGACCAATAAAGAAAATATCAATAGGGAAAATACAAATAAGGAAAGTACCAATACGGAAAATACCAATGAGGAAAATACTAATAAGAAAAACCTATAAGGGAAATACCAATACAGGAATGTTTTCAAAACATATTTCATTACACTTCCCTCCATACAATGCTGAAAATCCAGCATTGTGGTTTCGACAAATCGAAAGTTCTTTCTATTGCTCTGATATTAAGGACGAGATCATGAAGTAAGTATACTATACAGTAAACTCATTCAATGGGGTATTCTCTGCATAAAACATTTTTAGTAGCTAAAACCTAAGGTGTCTACAAAAGCATTCAGTTGAACTTAAGGAGATTGGTTTCAGAGAAAGAAATGTAATATTTATAGTAATGCAATAGTTACTTTGGTAACATACATCTTTTATTCAACATTTTAATGCAACAATAAATACTTATCAAATGTGTGATCAGAATCACAATAAATGATACGTGAAATAAGAGTGCGGTCCGACAAGTACTTAAACGAAAATTTTGGGAAAGTGGCGATTTATTTCTCAACAGTCTCCTTTTAGGTCGATATTCTTGACCCAGAGATGCTTCAACTTCTTTAACCCATCTGAAAAATACGTTTTCTGGAGGTCTGCAAAGTAGGCCTCCTCATTCGATTCAAATTTCTGCCAGGAGAGTGACTTTTTCAAGTTTGGAAACAAAAAGAAGTCGCACGGGTCCAAATCTGGATAATACAGTGGATGTGGCAGTATTTCGTAGAATAATTCCACCAATTTGGACGATGTGACGGCGGAGGTGTGAGCCGGTGAGTTGTCAGGGTGAAAGAGCACTTTTTTCTTCGACCAATGGGGCCGTTTTCTCTGCAATTTGGCGTGGAATCGGCCCAATAAGTCGGCATAGTAGAGTCCTGTGACCGATTTTCCCTGCAGGTTGTCGATGTAGATCACACCTTGTGAATCCCATAAAACGGTGGCCATCACCTTTCCGGCCGCTAGGACAGTATTCGCCTTCTTCGGAGCACGTTCGCCGAGTCAGGTCCACTGTTTCGACTATTCCGTGGTTGCGCTTGATGTCTGGAGTGAACGAACGCGGCACCATCGCACAAACGGCTTTATCATGCCCAATATTTCATGCAGGATATCACCCACGCCGTCTTTGTAGATGTCGACTGTCTCAGCTATCTTGCGCATCTTCCATCGGTGGTCTGTCAATACTAGATTGTGGATTTTTGTCCGTGGTATATCCGTTTATGGTTCGCCTGGGCGTGGCTTATCAAAATCCGACGTGCGACCACGTTGAAACTCGTTAAACCAATTTCTGACGGTCGCATCGAAGGAGAAGAGTCACCGTACACAGCACCCAAGTGCTCTTCAATTTCGCTGTGCGATTTCCTTTCCAAAAACAATAATCGAATCACCGACCGATATTGCTCTATTTCCATTTTTCTAAAATCCGCGGACACGCCCGCTTCCACACGCGGTCAAAACAAAACTACGCGACCGATCCATCTGAAATTGACAGTAGCCGTCTACGACAATGTACTACACGATAGTAAATTTCTCTTACGATAGTAGCGCGATCGGGCGGTGAGGATAAGTACTTATCAAACCGCTCCCGTATCTCACAGCCTGTGTGACATATCTCAACATATTCTAACCTTATAACTATTCATTCACTGTATTACACTTGAAGTAAAACAAATGTCGAAAATCCTATTAAGCCGTTTGGGCGGTAGCCCTCTAGATATGTTAAAGATATTCTCCGGGATAAAAAGTAACCTAAGTGCTATTTCAGACTATAATTTATCTCTGTACCAAATTTCATTAAGATCCGTTGAGTCATTTCGCATGATTGAAACAATCACATTTTCTCATTCATGATACTAGTAGGGAGTGAGGATGATCACAATTGAGGAACGATTAAATGAACTGAACGTAACGAGAAACTAGGGATATGAAGTTTTTAAGTATATCTGCAAAAGTGACTCGTCAGCTGTCAAAGTTGAATGTTTTTTCGGACAAAATATCCCGTAGCTCCAGAAGTCGCGATCCAAAGCATATAGTATGCTGTATCAAACTTGTTGCTTTAAGAGGTCCTTCAAAATATTCTAAAACGCACAGGGAATTCCATTCAAAAAATCCACGCGTCTATTGCCACGTATCTACATAACAAAATTATTCAAAAATGTTTTATAAAGCCTTAAAATCAATGCGTATCCCTATACAAAAATGCCGATATCCCTATACATTTAAAGAACCCTACTTAATAATTATTACTGTTCCATTTCCAATAACGCCATTTGTTCATGCACAGGGAAGATTTAACATTATGAAAAGAATCGCTGTTCTAGTGATAGATTCAGGTTTAAACCAATCGACATGAGTGATTTAAAATCAATGTTCGACTCTCTGAAATCAAATGCCTTGGGAAGTGATGGTGTGTCACTTCGAATGCTAAAACTATGCTTTTTGTGATTTCCGGTCATATTTTACGCAACATAAATGCCTGCTTAGATTAAGGGATTAATTCCAGAATCATGGAAAGAAGGATTAATGTTACCTCTAGCTATAATAAATGAACCAACATTATATTATGATTTAAGAACAATTTGGATTTTACCTGTCCTGTCCAAATTATTAGAAAAAGCAATGTACGCCAAAACGTACGATTATATGTCTAAACATAAATGTTTGCCTCCCAAACAATGCTGTTATCGAAAAGGACAAAACACTGCAGGTGCTCCAATAGGGACAACCGATAACATTGTTAGGGCCTGGGACCCAGAGATTATCACATCGTTTTTTTCTTGACTTCTCTAAGGCATTCTATGCCAGAAATCATCGTCTTCTAGTAGCCAAGTGTAAGTGTAAATTTTGTTTTTTGTTATTCTTTCTCTATTGAGATGGTTTTGTTTCCAAAGTTCCTCATTTCCTCCGAGTGCCCCAAGGGTCAGAACTTGGGCCACTCCTATTCATTTTGTATATTTCTGATCTGCATACAGCTGTGAAATATTGTAATATCCAATTCTTTGCTGATGATTCACATATCTACAGTCATTTTTATAATCACAAGGTTCAAACTGCCGAATCTGAGATAAATGAAGATATAAAATCTATTAGTATGTATACAAAGAATCATAACCTTCAGTTGAACCCTTTAAAATCGAAAGTCGTCAATTTTTCACCAAAACTGTTTGGAAGCCATGCCAAAAAAATTTAAAGTAAACTTAAATGAGTGAGATAGATAGAAGTGAGTAAGCTAAAAACTTGGGTGCAACTTTATAGGACTGACAATTACGTCTTAATATACAACTAACAAAATGTGTGTGAATCTTTGGTAATGACCAATATTAGTTATTGCGATTTAGTTTATTTTCCATTTCTCTACTCAATATCTATCACGCGTCTCCAGAAAATCCGAAATTCATGTTTTAGGTTGGTCAGTAATTTGAAAAAATATGATCACATAAACTCTTTTTTCAAAACATGGAGTTGGTGAGAGTAAAAGAACTGCGTGAGCTACACTTACTTACTTACACCCACAGACTTTTGCTCTCATCCATTCCGCGACTTTTGAAAAATAAGCTGATATCTAGAAGCAATATTCATTCTAGGAACATTCAATCCACGGAAATACCTACAAAGCCCCTTCACATGACATCATTGCTTCGTAAAGGATTCACCTACAACGCAGTTATTTTTTACAATGATATACCTCGCGCCACAAAATTAGTATCATATATGACGAATTTAAACAACATATGAAGTAATTTATTTTGAATAGAAAAACATATAAATCAATCGCTAACATTTATCTGCTAAATAGAGACGATTTATTATTATTATGAATCATCAGCATATTGTCCACTAACAATGGAGCTCTCAACCAATTACACACTAAACTAAACACTCACCATGTATTGATTTAATTAGTATCAAAAATAGACAAAAGCATACGATTCTCAATAATGGTGTTCTTGTTTAGGTACCACATCCTTGTCAGTAGACTGGAGCCATGTGTGGTTGAGCTAATGCAAGAATTTCTATTAACTACTAGTGGTGACATAGGATTAACCAACCAATATAACCAGATGAAATCTAAGATTATCGGTCTCCAAAAAACTAAAAATGAATTAGATAAGCAACAAATTGGAGATCGTACGCCTTCAGAGTTCTTGAGACACCTCCAGCACATTGCTAGCAAAAACCCGCTATTTCCCATGCATTTGATCAAGGCCATTTGGGTAGCAAGTGTGGGCCCATATGTCAAAAACGTTTTGCTCTCCGATCCAAACGCGGCATTTGAGAAATTGGGATTCATAGCTGATGGGATTGATTGCGGCATAGCTGATGTATTGATCAGCTCAGAAGGCTCAACAGGAAGCGAAGAAATCTCCCAAGAAACAAAGAAACTTCAAGATGAAATACACTGCAGTTGTTGTAGAGGAAATAAAGAGGTGACCTTGAAAATCGAGTGTGTCAAGTTGTGTGAGGTAATAGATATGGATTTGAAAAAAAACCCGAGACTCGTGACAATTTTTCACAAAACCACGTTAATTTAAAATATGTTAACCATATAATGTATAAACTACTGACGTATAAAAAACAAATACATATTATATTACTTTATCTTCCTATTGATCTGTAATTGTACACAGGGTGTGGCAAAAGTATCGTATCTGCTCGATCACTCTTTGGGACTACATTTCAGAGGCAAATACTTCCTTAGCTATCAGATGGGACACTGGAATCGATCTTGACCTTGAAGGTCATGTGGAGGTTTACTTCAAAATTTTAAATGTAAACCCATATTCTTGACCCCGGTCATAAAACACACGAAAAAGTTTACGTTCGCATATGACCTTGAATTACTTCCATACAACTTTTATTTGAAACATTTTCCATTAAAATATTAAAATGCATTCCAGAAGAGTTATCGATACTCAGCATTAGTGGTTTGACCTTGAGGATCAATCAAGACCAAATATGAGAATCACTCAAGGTCATGCTTGAACGTAAAAATTGTCCACTCATTTCATTACCGGAATCAAAAGTAGACGTTTACATTTGTAATTTCAAAGGTGCCCTTCAAATAACCGTCTAGGTCAAAATCAAAGAGCCGAATCGAAGGTCACCGACCGATAGCTGAGAGATCATCCTACAACTCTTATCTGAAGCGTTTTCCCCTAAAATGTATTCACGAAGAGTTAACGAGTTAACAAGTTATTTTAAATGCCAATAATAAATAGACTCAAACGGGTATTACATATCTTGGAAAGTCACATTTTGTCGTTTTTTACATTTCGTAGGTTTTTTGTGATATATCGTAGGTTTTTGTACAAGATGTTAACTTAGCACAAGCTGCTGTATACTTGTTGTGAACTCGTTTTCTAGCTGTACGTGTTGCATAAACGTCAGCGAACAGGGATCATAGCGTGCAAACGTGGAATGAACTATTTTGCACTCTAAAACTTCCTAGTGTGAAAGATGACATTTCGTCGGATTTTTCGGAAGTTTTTTAGGTTTTTTACATAATACCCCTGACGGACTTGATGCATCAGGTATTCAGCGCTATGGCGTGGAACAGGTTATCTACCACCGTTCTACTGGGCCTCTCAGCCCTGGATCTCTAGCCAATTGACATAATTCTGTGTTTTCCTTAGATTTTGGGACTGTTGTGAATCTTGCGGATTTCGTAAATTTTATGACTGTGTTTCTGGTGATACTTGGGATTTTGGGGGGACTATCAAGGTGTAGACACATACATTTTGTCCATTCGGGGTTCGTCCCTCATAAACCGCGCTTCAGAGACACCTTGAGTTCCGGGAGCTCTAAGCACAGTGCATCATTTTAGACACGCATCTGCTTGTTTATATTTTGTCAAATGGCTAGATGAATAGAAGGGTAAGAGGTGCGAGCGAGCCACTGGGGACATTCGGCACCACCACTAACGCTAAATACATGGCGCATACATTAAGTCCGCGCGTCTATTTATTATCGGTATTTCCATTAGCTTGAATATTCGCGTATTCTTTTTCGGTCTGTATATCCTACATCCCGCGCACGGGAAAAATTCAACAATTCACAACCGACTGAGAAGCAAACAAGTAAAACTCAACCCAATAATAATATTGCTAAGTCTGCTTATCTGACTGAAAATCAGTGGGAAATGTTTATTATTTACGTCTTTAAACAGTCTTGTTTGTTTTCGAATGACGTTGCATATATGTGGCGATTCCACCGACGATTCAAGCATTCGATGCTAATTACAACTAGTACAAATAAACTAGTTAGATCACGTCTCTACATTGAAGATATCGTAACAAAATGAAGTTCTCTTGCTCATTTCTGGGAGCAAAATATAGAGTTTTTAGTGCAACAAAAATAACGAATCGTTACGCCTTCTGATAGGTTATTTTTGTCAGCAACGGCAAATAACAAATGTCGACGAAAAAAGAGTTTTTATGACCACTAAAGTGAACCATGGTAATTTGATAGTACTGACTACTGTCAGGTTGCTTAATTTTATTCCGATTTTGACGTAAAGCTGACCCAAAAAATTTCAAAATTTCTTCAACTTTTTTTGTGTCCAAATCGCACAAGAAATGAATACGTTTAGAACCATTGAATCACAGAAGGAAAAGTGGTGCGGTGACCACAAAACCAGCAGAATTACAATAAAACGCTACCTTGCCTCATTGCATACGGGGTGTTTCAAATTGGACCCTCATCATTGGGATCTCGGAAACTGTAAGAGATACGAAGTCGCTTAAATGAGGCAAAGTTGCTCATTTAGGTTATCAACAAAATGGCGCTTAGAAATATTCGAAATTCAAAGTACTTCCGGAGAGTCGGAAAAAACTGAATTTTCCCAAAATCGTTCTAATTTTCTCCTGACTTTATTTGAAACTTGCACATTAACATTGTCACTTTTTCTTCTCTACAAGATGACATAATTAGAATTCCAATATGACGTTTCAACTCTTGTCCTCCAGCATCAACTTTTTTTTTCTTACGGACGCCATACTTAATTTTTGGGCAGATGAATAGAGTTTTAATTCTGATTCCAAAAATGTATAATGCGTTATGACGCATTATACATTTTGTCCAATGTCTAAAATTCAAATACAGCAGTCCTAAATTCAGTGATGTTTTTCCTCAGTTGGCCATGAATATGTTGTTGGATAAAAATTATAAGGAAATAAAAGGTATGGTGAAACCTCAACACAACATGAACAATGAACATTTATTCGTGGTAATAACAATATGTAATAATCATAAATAAGCAAAGGTAAATCATAGTAGATGATTAAAATGTCCGTTATTTCGTAGGCAAAGGCGGACTTGTACATTGTTCACTGCTCGGTTTAGTTGCTATGTTCAATTTGAAATCTGGTCTGATATACGAAACAGATGAAATCTGATACTTTCAAGGATACTCAAGGCTATCTAGGAAATTCTGTTTTTCTGGAATAACTAAGGTTTGACAATGTCAATGTTTGACGCATTATACATTATACATTTTTGGAATCAGAATTAAAAACTCGATTCATCCGCGCAAAAATCAAGTATGGCGTGCATAAGAAAACAAAAGTTGATGCTGGAGGACAAGAGACGGATCAAAAGTGACAATGTTAATGTGCAAGTTATTTTGAAAGCCCACAACAAATAAAGTCAGGAAAAAATTAAAACGATTTTGGGAAATTTCGGTTTTTCCCGTGTCTCTCCGGACGTACTTTAACGGTTTCAGGCAACAGCGCTGAATAAGAAAAAATAACAAACGAAATAAGCAGAGTATTTCGTTATTACCTTCAGCAAAACAAAAGCTAAAAGCACTAAAAACGTAAATAAAAACTCTCTAATAGGCATAGGCCAATGTTTTCCAAATGTCACTGGAGTACCAATTGTCGATGTTGCCACTGTGACATTACTATATGTTTCCACTTGTAAAAATGCCATTTAGTTAGGCAGCAGCGGTGGCCGCAGTAGTAGACTCTTCGGTCTCCTGATCAGTCGCCGTGCGCTGTGCGGGTTCGAGTCCCGTCCCAGGAGAAATTTAAATTTTTCTCTTGGCTACGGATGTTGTGATTGTCCGTAGGTGGTCGACGGTCTCTGTCTGTCGAACGCGGAGGTACCACCCGGCGGATCTCGTAGGCGGAGCCAGAATGTGTGCATGTTGCATGCACACGTGTTTCCCTCGCCAGCCTATAGCCCCACGGTACCCAATGGGTGTTTAGGCCTTAGGCCTTCGTGGTAGTTGGAAGTATAAAAAAAAGTTCACCAAGAATGCACTACCCAAATGCAAATTTGCTAATTTGTTTACATGCTGTACAATAATGACTATCAAAAGCAATATTTTAGGAAAGCCTCATCATCTGACTGCAAAAATGCTTCATTTCGTTAAAATAAAACTAATATTCAAAAAGTTGGATAAAAACCTAAATGTTGATTAAGCGATCTGAAAATTTATCTCAGAGGTTTTTCTGGTCACAGATTTAGAGTATGTTTAAAGGTATTTTCAAAATGGGGAAACCTGTATGTGAGATTCAGTATATTATAATCGATAAAACCATATTGAAATAAAACTTTATCACAAAAACGAATCATTCTATCAAAACAAAAACATACTTGTTCAGATAAAGGATTATCCGTTATTTTGGGACATTATTACACAGTGTGTACCAAAAGTTGAGCAATGTTGCATTTGGGCTAGTTCGCCTCTGGCGATTTTAATCAGTTAATTGTTTTCCATGGAACCATCATGATTGATCTCAACTATACTATTATAGTTGTACTCTGTATAGACAGTCGAATATACATCTTTGGGGATAACCAAACATTCCCACTCTGTCACTATACGAAATTTTTTGCTAAATTTCGTACAAAATTTTGTAGAAACTGTTCTAAATAATATCATACTGCGCGTTTGGAGAGGTACAGTGGTTGACATAACTTCAAACACTTAGGTACATTAGTTGATGTTATCAGTTGTGTTCATCAGTTTCGCGAAATCCTCTGCGTATGCTGTTCTACTTATAGGTTAAAAACTTAAAAGATGTCATCATCAAAAGAGCACTGTGACATATTACAAAACGTCTATGAGAAATATGATTGTTTATATGCTGTAAAAAGCAAGGCCTATAAAAACAGAAAATCCAAATAAGCTGCGTTGGATCATTTGATCAGAATAATTAAGAACTAGTTAGGTTTATAAGCCTGTGGATCCTGCACTAGAAGTTCTTTATTCAGCATAAGGAGAACACATGCTCTGGCCCCTCTCCCTAACCAAATGGCAATTAGAAGTTGACAGGTATAGTTTTTTTTCTACCAACTGTGCATGATTTCGTACGAAATTGAGGGCCGTATCATCAGTCGTACCTACAATTATTGTAGGGCGCCTTTATGGCCTCCTTGATTTTCATTGTTTTCTACTTTTCCGTGTCAGCGCTTTATTTTGAGGTCACAAATACCTATTTGTATCAAATTGTTCATGCTTTTGATTTATATCATGTTTTATCGACCTGAAATTTTCTTCAATTCAGAAAGAAAACATAATTTCACA